TCATTATTCAGCCCGAGGAAGATAACAAAGAGCTAAAGGCACACAGTCTCCAGCGGCTCGCTCTTAACCAAAAGTAGCAATGGAGCTCAGTGCGATTATGGCAGGCTGCATTACAAATATACATGTGTGTGCGTGTGTATACATGGATATGCTGTCTGATCTCCCCTGAAATCAGATCACGCTGCAGGCTGTGCGAGTCAGCGCCGTTTTAACAACCATTTTCTGTAAACACTACAGCGTTACAGCACTGCACATCTGCTCCGCGGCACAGCCGAGCCCGGTCAATCACAGCCAGTTTGCCGCGGCGATGTTGCAGCGTGGACGGCGGCGTGACGGCGTCACCTTTCGGCTTCTACAGACTTGTGTTAAGATGTAGGAACGGAGCAAACGGCACGCTCTCGTAGATGGGTGCACAGCGTGCTAATACACCGCGGTGTGTGTGTGTCTGTGTGTGCAGGTCTGACTGGAAGCAGTGACCTGACAAACTCACAGAGTCGAGTCAGACAGCAGAAGCAAACACAGAGACTTTATGGTGTCTGCCGGAGATGCGGGCACGTATAAAAGCACGGGGCTCTCCGGGTAGACTGAACTTTGTTTACATTGACTGTGCACCACAAAAACAATAAACAATAAACAAGAAAAAGCCCCTTCTTTACGGTCACCCGGTGGAAAGGTACGCTGCTTAAAAGTCAGCCTGCTTAAAAATCAGCCTGCTGGCAATGCGCACCAGGAAGACGTAAGAGGGGTGAGTAAAGTTATCACCTAGCTCGACAAGTTAATAAGCGTGTCAAAATGGCAAAACCATATGTCCGCTGGCTGCTTGGCTTGGGGTGGCTGAGGCGTGCTAGCAGATTTTGCTTTTTCGTCTCAGCTCAAACGCAGGAGCACCGTGTGTTGTTGTTGCTGCTCGGATTGTGTGTATGGAGAGAGAGAGGGGGGACTGACAGCACAGTTGCCAAATGGGACTTTGCTACAGGGAAACCTCCTGCTTCATCCCGACTTCTCTAAAATGTGACACAACAGAGAGAGAGATGCTGGACGTGCACCGCTCTTAACATTACAAAACGCGCACAAACACACACATACACACACGCCGCTCATTTGTGTTTCTACTCACCGCTTGAAGTGCTCAATAATTTTCTCCTCTCGTACATTTTCGGGTAAATTTCCCACCCATAAATGTCTGGTTTCCCGGACCATACTGTGTGCTCCTGCTCCCCGATCATACAGATGAGTTTGCTATGTCCGTTTCTCCCCGTGCAAAATACAAAAGCTCTGCAAAATAAACGGCGGACAAGAAAAAAGATGCTTGGCGCAAATCATTGACTGCTCGTTGTGGCCCAATGTAAACCATTAGGCTGAATCCCCGCACGCTGTTTGATACTCTTCAGTGTTAAAGCGCGATCTTGCACCTCATGAACGCGCTCCGGTCTGTTCCCGTGACTAGGCGCGTCCCTGACACCATGCGACCTTTGGGTGTCGAAAGAAAGCATGTAGCTTCCTAAAAAGATGCAGCAACTTCGCTTGTAATGAGAGGCACACCGCGCAGGCGTGGCTTTGTGTGTGAACTTCTTTTTTTCCCCCCCGATGAGACGGTCTTTCACCCCTGCGCATGCGTGAGAAAACCCCTGGTTGAATGGTGGTGCTTTGACATCTGCAGCTTCACAAGAGGATCCCATCAGTGGCAGTTAACTGTGCAAGGTGAATCATCCTGCGCACAGCACACAGTGAGCCCAAGTTTGGTATTTTTATGTTTCAACGTTGTAATAGTTCAGTTGTTATCAAAGCACAGGCAAAAAAATGTCACCCCATAATTGTAAAGTGAGCCATCAGCTCACATGTTAAAAAGTTACAAAAGCCTTCAGTGTTGTTCCCTGTCACTTAGCTGGTTGGCACTCATTTACCATATCCAACTGCTGGTACTTCAGATCACTGCTCTGTTTGTCTGCACAACAAATCAGCAGAAACAGCAGTAGCTGCAGTCCAGTCATTCATAAGAATCAGGAGACTAGATGCACTCTCATTCTAATCACAGGTTGTGTTGAAGTTTTTGACACTTGAAGCGGAAACTTGCACACAGGAAACAGGAAACTGAAGGACAGCTGTGGGCTACTCTGCATGCTAATAATCTAACAAGAATGTGCTGCAAGTTAATCTGTGACCAACTTATAATAAGTTATAATAAGTCTAAGAGATTTTTTTTTCTCCTTAACTTGAATTAGTGTGAATAATATGCTATGTCTTCCCAACACTGGTGAGATGTTTTAGAGTAGACTGCTATCTGGAACAGAACAAAACACCACAGGAGGGCCTTTTTGTCTCGTTCAGTTGGGTTCAATACACTTTCTGTTTATCCCTTTAGTTTTGCACTTAAGTGTGTGAAAACTGAAACAAAAATGTTTCCACATAAGCTGATATAAGGCACTGTTGCAGGGAAATAGGGGAAACCACATAATTCATAACTTATGTATGACAGAAAATAGTTTGCTTGTCAGTGTGTCAAGTGAAATTACAGGAAGTTTAGGTGGATTTTCATGAGTTTCATATTTTGACAGATATGAAACTTATGTGGGAAACTGTTCTTTTGCATGGAAAAGATCAACGTACTGCTAGATCAGTTTTTTAAAAAAAGAAAGAAAAGCTGAGGCAGTGACACAATAAATAAAATCCCCAAAATTCAGAATCCCCAAGCCGGATCGTCCAGAAAAGCAATCCAGCAAACTCGAGACAACACGGCTAAGTTTACAGTAAGAAACTTTACCACACTGAGGTAGTTTGAATGTGTTTGAAACCTTTAAACTTTGAATTGATACATATGCCTTCTGCATGTTGCACCTGCAGTCTGTCAGAGCAACAAAAAAAGATGCTTTGACACATTTAACAGCTTCTACTACTGGGTTACAAAAGGCACAGGGAGCTGTTAAGTCAAGTACTTTGACCTGGTCTGAGCTCTACTTTAAGCTAATAAGTAACACAAAACAATCAGGCTCCTGTCCAAAAGTCCAAGAGTACAGTGGCGATAAGCCCTCTTGTAAGGGAAAATACAAACTGTATGTGTGTGTGTGTGTGTGTGTGTGTGTGTGTGTGTGTGTGTGTGTGTGTGTGTGTGTGTGTTTTTCTTTGACCGACTATCCCCATTATAAAACATGCACACTTTCTCTGAATGACCACCATGACTGATAAATAACGGACCAAATAATGATGTCCACATAATCAAGAGGGGCGTCAACATTTAAGTAAAATGGTAGATGAACAACTATTTTCTCCACATTGTGTTGTGCCCAAATCCTCCTTGGAGCTGAATTGTTTTATTTTTTTATTTTATTTGTAATTTTTTTGCATGTGGAAAATGATCACTGGCTTGTTTGGTTTGAAAATAAAGCTGCAACTACAGCGGGGCATTATTCTGCTTTTGTTACTATATTAAGAATACTTAAAGGGAGAAGTGCGCCTGCGTTAAAATGCAGTAACAGGGGACACGCGAAACTGCTTTGCGCATGCGTCCACTGTGCCTATCAGATGAAGACAGAACAATCTGGAAATCTCCAGAGGAGGTTACAACGGCGCTCAGTCAGTTCTATGGGCATTTTCACCGTACTCGGGTGCTCAGAGCGTCCTCCCTATGTCTACTGAAAGCGTCCTGATGTGGAACTTTACTCCATTAAAAGTCTAATAAACCTCTGGGAGTACAATTTCTCATTTTGGTGGATCGACTAGACACCAAAAACTAAATTTCATCTTCAGTGATTTTCAGACGTGGATTATCGTGGAAACTGGACCGTCAGGCTAATGTTTCCCCCTGTAATTTTTTTTGACACGGGATGACGGGACTGACATAACAAAAACCCTCTCATGGAATATGTTTCTGTCTGTCCACAGCTCTCAATAAAGACAGATCTAATGGGCATAACACCGGCGACACATTGTGGATTTAATTCGATATGGGTGTTAAATTGTCACACGAAGTCAGGCTTTAACCTTGGCTACTGTTATTGAGACAATGTAGCACAGGCTGGAAGGGCGGTATCTCAAACTTCCTGATAAAAAGCCCCTTTGAGTGTAGCCTAATAAAGCGAATTTGCTGCCATTACAACAACAGTGTGAATTAATACGGCTTGCTAGCTGTTTAACAGCGTGTTTGTCCAACAAAATGGAGCTAAGGTCGACGCATAATCAAGTAAACTAGCCTTTTCTTTGTCTAACGCCATTTTGTGTGTCTTTGGAGCACTAACGTTGTCGTCAGCCATTTTGCCTTTTCTTTTCAAGCACACAGCCTTTGAACACTAGCAGAGCACAATGGTGTTTGCGGGCCTGTCGCGGGGAAATAAGTGAACAAACAACAAAACAATAAACGAATAAGCTTACCCACTGCCCAGGCTGTGTGGTATGCAGTTATTGGATGTTTTCAGTCATGTCAGTACTACACTTAGTAATGTTAGCTCCTCTGTAGAGTGCATTTACCTGCTGTAACAGCGACTGCTTTAATGGTTAAAAACGACGACGTGATATGGGAGTCTAAATTTACATTTTCTGTCGGGTTTTTTTTTTCCAATAAATGGAATAATTTCCTATTTTGTGCAGCTTTATTATTCTGTTTCTGTTGAATGCCTACCTTATACTGCAAGAATAAAAGAAAGGGGTTCAGCGTTGGTGAAATATAAAAAAAATGGGTTTTGTATTGCTTCTCAACTGAAAATGCTGGGAAATGCGAAATCTACTGAATAAAAAAATAATAATACTTTGACCTTAATCTGCTCTACTGGAAATGATCTCAAACGGTAAATCTTCCCAAGAGGTCACACAGACCCAGATAACCATTATTGTTGAAACAGTATGACTAACCAGCAAGAAGAAAACAAGCTTAAAAACACATCCTTAGCATCCTAAGAAGTAAAATGAACTCCAGGACTTGTTGAAAGGCTGCCTATTGAATAGTTGTTGATAACCATGAAATTGTTCTTTTAGAAAATGTGAAAAGACTGTAAACATTCCTTACATGATGAGTTGTGTCAAATATTTAATACAAAATGTATACTACATCGTAGGTAGAAAGCAACGTTGCCTTGATATGATTTCCACTAAATAGTGCCATTAAAGAGACGTGCAGGCTTTAAAATCCCAGAGTGCCTATCTCTGATGCTCTTTCTTGAAGGCTCGTGGTTTTTGCTGACGCTCCCTCCTTCTGTACTCTGTATAATCCTCTTCATCCTGTGTGAACACAGCAAAATATGATGCTAGAAACATGGGTGACTGAAGACATGCCTGCTGTTAAGCTACAGCCAGACATATAGCTTAGTGAATGTAGCCATGATTTCTTGATATGCATGATTCTCAATCACCACATGAGCTACATTTTAATAGCAAAACAGACCCGACTCACCTTAAAAGTCTATTCAAATGCAAGGTTTTTTATATTTGTTTTATTTTGCATTATACTTTGTTTAAACCCCGCAACTTTAAATAGGTCAGCTCAGTGAAAGGAAAAGTAGACTCAGTATTCTGAGTCAGAGATCACGTTGACCTGAATCTGTCTTGGGGGTCTTAAACCTTCTCCACCCGGGATACAAGTTGGAAAAATCGAGTGTCATCTTGAGACTCATCTAATGAACATATTGATATTCTGCTCCAGTTTTGGGAGGCCTCGGTGGGAACGAAGTGCTTTTGGCCCCGTGTGCCGCTCCCAGGGAGACTCACTGACCTGTGAGGATGCTGCATCCAGCAGATCCTTGGTGGGGAGTAGACAGCTAGCCTCTCCGAGGAAACATATTAGGATGTGGAACACGTCTGCCCAGCGTCCAACAGTCAGCATCAGGACCATCAAACCCCCGAGACGCACCACCACTGCGTTGAGGACGGCCTGGCTGCTAGGCAGACGGTGTTGCTCTTCTACAGAACCATGACAGAGGACTATTAGGGAGAAGTATTTCATTTGCATTTAAACAAACTAAAAGAATGTCTTAGATCAGCCACAGATGCTGTAGTGATTAGTCAGGTGAATTGAGAAGCAAGTGATGCTACTGGCATATCGCTTTGTAAGGGCTTATGTCTTTAAATGTTTCTCACCCTGCATGTACACCACCAACAGCGTATAGCAGATAGTAAGTGGTGTCCAAAACCTAAGGGCTTCTGTTGCAGAGAGGAAATGTTGGTTGATGGTTGAAACAGCAGCCAGCACAGCCACAGAGAAGGTAATGATGATGGTCCTGCACAGCATGGGCAGCAGGGAGCTGCCCGATGTGAGGAGGCTGATGCAAATGCCGCAGTAGCCCTGTGAGCTGTGGAGTTTATACAGAGCTATGACATGGTGCAGCAGGTTTGTGGCCTGCCTAGCCAGAAACCAGCTGAGTGCTGCTGCCAGGAGTAAGCATAGCCAGCGCTGCGCCGCCCCCTCGTGTAGAAAGTGCAAACTGCAGGTTAGGGCGCAACCCAGAGAGAACTGGCTTTGAACTAACAGCTGCTGCAGAAATTTCCCCGACTCCTGGGAAAAAAGAGGAGCACGAGTGATGAATGAATCAAAGCAGACGACGATGGCTGTCGCGACTCATCCTGACACCAACTCAGCAGAGTAAGCCACAGAAAAATCACCTTATACAGCTGAGGCATATTCATATATATTTTTATCACATAATTGGTTTCTTACTGGTCCAGCTGTAACCAATCCAGAGACAGCTCGAAGACAGAATTCTAGTACCACCAGTGAGGCCACACGGGAGCCCACTACACACAGTATCCCAGTTACAAAGAGAAACTGAAGCAGCCCAGTAAGTCCAGGTTTTGTCCTTATCGGATGACCGGATGTCTTCCGAGTTGATGTGTCTTCACCATTTTTTTTACTCCAGCTCCAAGTTGTAGGGAGGAGGGGGAAAAAAGTCACATCAAAGACATAAAAATAAACTGTGTGGATGATGAAATCCCTCTAAAATCAATTATTTTTAAAAGTGAAAATGGGAAATTCTTCAGCAAAACACCACATAAGTCTGTACACAAGAGGCGACCTCTCTCACCTCTCCTCCAAGAATAAATGCACTCTCAACAGGGAGCACAGCACAGAGATCCCACATGCAGCTACCAGCCCTGCAGGTCAGATAGCCGTGAATTTCGAGCACAAGTAATAACAAACCTCAGACATTTACTCTTTTAATAAATGGCCCGCAGCCGTGCTGAAGGATGAGGAACTCACCTTGGAGTAAACTTTCCAGTGGATTTATATCTAGAGTCAGCCACCCTGGTAAGAAGTAGGAAGTTGGAAGAAGCCATGTGATGAAAGAGAACATAGTACTACCTCAAGGGAGGAAAAATCACCTTGAATGTCTATAAAAGTAAGCTACTTTAAGCATCTGCACTCTCAAGATTCATCTTTTATGGTTCATAGATCGCGTTACAGTGTTGTGAAGTATCAGCTCAGCGTTTCCGTTTTCTTTCTGTTGCCCCAGCGTTGTGCTTTGCTCACCCAGAAGCCTGTTCTGTGTCCTGTACCAAAGTTCAACTGAGTGTCAGTGGAGCAGAGGCGCCCTCAGGCCTGAGTCATGGCAAGATAGTGGAGGTTATTGCACCATGGGAAAGACTTTACACTCTCTTTGAAATATAGTCGCAAGCATTCGCTGAGTTCTGTGGTGATCTGCACGTAACAGCGTGGGATTATTCTGATGGCATTAAACACAAGAAACAGTTGTAGACTTGCAATATTATTAAACAGCAATATTGTAATAATAATATGTGAAAAGAAATTAGAGTGTGCACAGTAATTACCTAAAGAGTTATGGGTAGGCAACTCCAGGCCTCGAGTGCCGGTGTCCTGGAGGTTTTAGATGTGTCCATGATCCATCACAGCTGATTTAAAGGGCTAAATGACTCCTCAGCATTTCTTGAAGTTCTCCAGAGGCCTGGTAATGAACTAATCATTTGATTCAGGTGTGTTAACCCAGGGTGCGATCTAAAACCTGCAGGATACCAGCACTCGAGGCCTGGAGTTGACTACCCCTGAGTTATACTAAGTGTGTGGGATGAGGTGTGTAATGGTAGATTTAAAGTTGGGAGAAGATGGAGCTCAAATACAGCTGCAAGCACAAGTTCAAGTGTCACGTTTCTACAAATATTATTTTATTATCTCATCAAGAAACAGTTGTTTGAAGCAAAATATACAGCAGTGTGCAAAAGTCACCTCATGTGTTATTGGAAAAATGCAAAGGTACAAAGAAATCGTCAGGTGTCGGCTGTGTGCAGGCAGGGGTTGGACCCAAAATGCAGGCTCTCAGACACGAGGGATGAACTCAAAATCACAGCTTAATTGGCTGGAAAGGAAAATGCATGCAACACAAAAACTAAACTGGGAAAGAATAAGGTAAACTCACGGGGAAACCACACAGCCATGAGGGACGACGGGACACCGACACAGAGAAACACAAGGCTGAATGAGACACAGAAGGAGAGCACAGCTGGGAGAAATCAGAACTGACGAGACAAGGAAGTAAAGCAGGATACACTCACATGAGACGCAGACCTTCAAAGTAAAACAGGAAGTATAACACTGAGACACAGTGGAGACAGAGCAACTAAGAAACACAGAGACATAAACCATAAGGCAGAGAACTCTAAGAACCAAAAGGCTAGAGATGAAAAATAATACACAGAGGGAAACACAAAGCACGGAACACAAGAAACTACACTCAAGGGAGTAACTAAAGACCAACAATGAGAATACAAAGTGACAAAAAACACAGGAAACTCAAAACACTCAGTCAAAAACCCAGGACCCTAACAGAAATACAGTATAACAGTTTGTACAGTACAGACTTGACAGCCAGTGTTTGGTATGAACACCGTTATTTTTGAACACACTCTGATCTCTCTTTGGCAGCTTTCTTGTCTTTAAGTAGTTTTCAGGAATAGTTTTCCAGGCTTCTTTAAGGACATCCAGCTCTTCTTTGGATGTTGGCTGGCTTTTGTTCTGTTCTCTGTCAACATGATCCCACTCTGCTCGATTAATGCTGGGGGCCAACCCATGACTGTCAGTGTTCCACTGTTTGTGTGTTATTCAGTGTGTTTATTCAGTTATGCTTTTACTGCATTGGCAGTGTGTTTGTTTGGCAATGACTTTATGGCAATGATCCAAATCACACTCTTTCCAAATGGTCGTGTATGGTGGCTCAAAATCCAAATCTGTGTTTCTGTGTTCATAATTTCATCAGTTTTGACAAGACTGGCTAAAAGGTGTCCCTAAACCAGCCTCCACAGTGTTATACATATGGCTGTTGACATTCACTTGTTGTACCTCTTTTCTGACCTCCTCCTTCTATAATGAGAGTGATTCCTTAAGAATGGCTTCCTGACAGCCACCCTTCCACTGACACCATTTCCTTTGAAGCTTCAGTGAACAGTGGATAGATCAGCTGAAGGACCAGATCCGTCCCTCGGGTCTTATGTCAGGTCTTTTTTAAGGACACACTACTAACCATGAATCACCTTGTCGTTGCAAAAATTACTATTGTATCTCTGCTAAACTGTGTCATCTTTGATATTTAGACTCAGTGAAAGAAACTGGAACAAATTGCGTGTTTTCGTCACATTCTTGTAGTAACCAAGTGCCATAAGATACAATGTCTTGATCAGTGTTGGGACTAACTCGTTATTAAGTAACGCGTTACAGTAACTACGTTATTATTGTGGTAACGAGCACGGTAACTAGTTATTATGCCAAAATCAGGAACGCGTTACTCATTACTGGGATTTAGATAGGCTCGTTATTTGTTACTTCGTGTGGTGGCTATCGCAGAGCTCTCACAGATTCAATAACATTAGCAAGTGGTGGAAACCAGCAGGTGGATGAAGGAAAAGGGAGGCAAGAGGAGAGACCCGAGGCGGCCGCTGGTCCGAGAGTGTCAGGTGAACTGAACTTCAGGTAAGAAGTTATAACCTGCAGTCCATCTGGGTCAGATATGAACCAAGTTTAGTAGGAGTTTACTTTTGTTGTGCTGACTTTTTCGTACTGCGTGCTAGCTAGCATGACAGAGTTTCTATACAGCTGGGTGGTGCTATAATGTTAATGATGTTGAACTTTTGCCAACCGTCTAGTAAAAAACGGAATCGTCTCGTATTCAGAGAAAATATTACGCGTTTCGTATTGAGGTGAAAAGGAACGCAGTTTATGTTTCAGCTACAATGAAAAAGACACAAAGCTGGAGTTACTCTGTGTCTTTGCTGCACAGTTGCCTCTTCTTCTCTCATCCTCTCACCATCTCTCTCCCGTTTCTACTTCAATCATGAAACTGATCAATGATCAGCTGATCGGCTTTTCTCTCTTGTTTGTTTATCGCCACTTTGCGCCAGAAAGAGGAAACCAGCGGATGTCGGCTAAACAACAGCAGCACGTTTAAGCTTGATCAGCTGTTGTTAGAATTTATTTAATATTAATTTCTAGTATCAGCTGATGTTTGCTGGAGCCACAGCTGTAAAGCTGCTGGTCATGATATCGGTTTGGTATCTGGTGAGAGGGAAACATGAAGATGAAACCAGGAGATGTCCTTACTGAGATCATCAGAGCTGTGATGGAGAAACAGGTTTACCTTTTAGGTGACATGAATGAGTTGAAGGGAAGTTATGAACTGTTTCTGAGAGACAAATAACACCAGGATCCTTTTTTATGTAGCTGACAGCTGGTAACTGTGCAGGGGCGGGTCTAGCAAAGTGTTGCCAGGGGCCATGTAGGGCATTAAAAGGGAGAGGGGGGCACAAGGAAATACTTTCTTATTCTCATTTAAAATGTCTCAGCTTTAAAAAATAATTATCTGAGTCTTACAACAAACAATTGATAGATTGATGCATATATACCATCAGAACAGTGTACATCACTGTCACAACAGTGTTTATTTTCATTCAAAGGCTTTATGATTTTTCCTATAATGGTGGGCCGGTCTCTAGTCAAAATGCCCGGGCGCAATTTTTTTGTCCCAGTCCAGCCCTGTATGCAGCTCATCTGCAGTCTGGTGTTACCTACATCTTCCTATTCAGAAGGCAGAATTTCCGAGTTCTGAGTACAATCGAAAGCACCACGACTGCAGTTTTTGTGTTGGATGTAAAAAGCAGGCTAGGATAGAATCAGGCGTGGGATTTCTCTCGTGGAAATGTGCACATTATTTTTTCCTTTCTATTGGTAGGTGGCACAGTGCACTTGTGGCAAGTAAGCAAGCTAGAAGACTGTCAATCTTGCTGGGTATCCAGTTACTGAGGCAACACATTAACAAGAGAAATCTGAGTTAAACCAAAGTTACTTTCCCTAGTAACTAGTTACTCTGAAAGTAACGAGTAACTTGAAGTAACTGAGTTACTTTTGATAGAAGTAACTAGTAATGTAACTAAGTTACTAATTTAAAGTAACTTACCCAACACTGGTCTTGATGCATGCTCAATCATCCAGGTAAGGAAATCGCAAAAAGTTGATTCTGTTCATCTGGACGTAGCATTTTGTGGGAGAAACGTTTCATCGCTCATCCAAGTGACTTCTTCAGTCTCAGCTGACTGCAGGTTTCCCCAAATCTTATCAACAGTACATTTGCACAATAACTAAAACTAGCCCACTGAATCAACAGTGGACTGTGAGGTCAATTCCTTGATCATTAATATGCAAATTCTCATGACCATTGACCAACAACCACTGATCAATGGCCATGAGTACCATTCACAGAGAGTTGGGGAATGGCTGCAATCACAGCATTGTAAGATGGTGAAAGATGTACACTTAGGCCCCCTCCTCGATTCAGAGATGGTCTTTCCCTTTTCACATAAAGAGCCTACCTGACTCCCCCCTCATGCCACTTAGCCGCTAAGCGGATGGCACAAGACAGAAGAGCTAACTCGTCGGGCCAGGACTGCAGTCTGTTCATACCTACAAGCCAGTTGACACTCTTTCAGTGATGAGGATGGACACATCCTGGACAGGGAGGATCACTGGTTTGAGTGGTTGTTGGACAATGGTCATGACAATTTTCATATTAATGATCAAGGAACTGACCTCACAGCCCATTGTTCATTCAGTAGGCTGGTTTCAGTCATTATGCAAATGTTCTTTTTATAAGGCTGGGGAAACCTGCAGTCAGCTGAGACTGAAGAAGACACTTGGATAAGCGACGAAACGTTTCTCCCACTGAAAACGCCACGTCCAGATGAACAGAATCAACCTTTTGGGGGCCTAAGATACAATGTAACATTGTTCCTTGCTAAGTTGTCTGTTATGTGTAGACACAACTCAGGTTCATCCCTTGAGTTAGGTGTCTTTTTGGTGCCTTTTTTTTAAATTTCAAGGTCAGTGTTAACGAAAACAAATATTTCTCTTAAAATGTTGAGCTACAAGGACTGGACTGAAAAACGAGTGAAAACACAGTCAATATTTAAAGAAAGACTTTGAAAGACCGTCAGAAACCCTGGAGAACTGTTGCTCAAGACCAGTTAAAATATCTGAAAGTCTGGCTCCTTAGAAAGAAAATCTAAAGAAGTACAATATTGCTTATTATTTTTAGGTTTGTGGGAGATGTATGTATAGGAATTTCTTTCACTTATGTATTAATCACGTTATTGTAATGCCTTGGTGCCACTGGATTTTAACGTGTCTGACACTCATACTTAAGACAAATGGTGAGGGTGTAGTAAGGATGTTGGGGGAAACAGGAACTCCACAGGAAGAGTCTTTTGTCTCTTCGAGGACTCTGGGAGGTAGCAAGGGAGTGTGAACCTTAAGGTGTGAAACAGCTGTGTACTGCTTTTTGTTCCTGGAGAAGGTATTTAACTGAGAGCCATGCTAGGCTCAGTGAGACTGCTGACCCTGCCCCGTGGTCATGTAGGCTCTGCATCAAGCTTGGTTGTCTGTTCTTTGTGTGTTTGGATTAAAGAATGTTAGCTACTGCTCGTCTGTATGCTTTATTTAAATGGAAAAACTTCCACAACATGTATCACATAGGGCAAGGAGAAATAGGCTGCAGGCAAGCTCAGTGCGTGTCCGTAAGTGGGCAGCACTGTACAGCATTCAAGTTAATGATGAATGAGTCTCTACCTCTACCTGCAGAATGTCTAAAGCAGAGTGAAACAACACTGGTGCAAGCTGTAGTCTTATTAGGATCCACTATGTCCTTGCAGATTGTCAATCCAAAGTGCTGAAGTCTTCTACCGCGATTCTTCTTCCTTCCGATTTCAAGGATCAAATGATTTGAATGTTTGTTAACCAGACTGGTTAAATCAACTTAACGACTTCGTTCACATGCAGGATTCTCATTAACTCAACTTCTCAGCTTAAAATATGACACTTCAAGATAAGTAAAAACAAAATCCTCTTGCTTCTTCTGAGGTATTACCTTGTATGTACTGTAATTAAAGTAAGTCGCAGGGATCATTGAATTATGTGTCTGAAACAGTACTCGGACTGTACTACAGTACTGCATTTTGCCTTTTCAGTGAAGCCGAGGAGTAAACCTGCATGCTGTTGTGTTTAGCCCAAACCATTAAACTCTACAAAATCAACTATCTTTGCTAAGCAGTGCACTATCTGCACAGGCTCTGATGAAACAGGAGACTAACAAACCACATCGAGCTGGCCTTTATCACTGAGAAAGAGTCATTTAACAGGGTCAAAAACAACAGATGGATTAGGAGCAAAGGACTTATGACAGGCTGAGGTACAGCCCTTCGTCTCAGTCGCTGATTTACAAGTGCCGGAGAGCAGAGATTCCTAAGCAGGCTGGTGAGTGTTTGTGACTCCTACAGGTGAGCAAGACTTTTGTAAGACTGTGAGGATATAAAGGGAATTTGTAATCCTTCAGTCACTGCTTTTTGAACTGGTTTATTTCAGTCATGAGCTATGGTTTAGCCCCAGGATATTTGATTGACTTTAAGATACCCTAAAAGTGTTAGTATTTTGTTACGAAGACACAACTGTCCAAACTTGCTGTTTCAGAGCGCAGTGAAGCTCAACACTGAAGCAGTGAGTGAGCGGTGATTCCAGCAGATCAGCCCCTGAGACGAAGGAAAACTGTCCTCATGGACTCCAACGGTTCCGGCAGCGTGCAGTACGACCGCTGGAATGAGGACAACATCAACATGAATGTAGAGGCTTCACAGTCCTCACTGAGGAGGTGAGACTTAGAGGATAGCAGCTGGGCTTGACACCACATGAGGACTAAGTTAAACTGACAAAGGTTAAATGTGTTTAATAAAAAGAATCCAGGTTTTATGAGTTTGACATTGACCATACAGTTTAAATCAAGTGTAGGAGAAAGGTTGTAATAGGTTTTATCCATGTATCCATCTCACTTAAACTTCCTGCAACCTATTTTTTATAGTTTAAATGATATGTAGTTACTTCCTCCAGGGAACTTGTGTTTTTGACAGTGTTTGTGTGTCTGTAAATGGGATCGCTCCAAGTTCTGAATGAACTGTGGTATAACTTTGTTTTAAAGGTGTAGAGTGGGGTCATGTTATTAATCCATTAACATTAAACTTACATCCACTATAGGTACCAAACCACAGGTACCAAATAAACCCGCCCCCTTTCTTTCCCATTCACAGGATCTGCAACAGCATGTGTGTCGGCAGCACTGGAATAGTAGTAAAAGCAGCAGGAGCCGTAGCTGCACTGGTGGCAGTTTACATCATAGGATATGTGACGGGGTACTACATCCATCGATGCCCGTAGGGGAACCAGGAGGTCAGGAGAGAAAAGAGATTTAAAACACACCAAAAAAGCATAAGCTTCATATGCAGAATGAGCTGTGACTGAATCGGATTTATTGTGATCAGAAAATCTACAAATTCATGGTTCATACTGATACTACAGCACATGAAAATGGAGTTATATCATTACATGATGTTCTATGAAGTGTAAAATATTCATTCATATCCTTCTCCAAAAATATCAGGCTGTTTTTTTGTCCAAACTGATAACTAGAGATAAACTCCTTTGGGCAGGAGATACCTTTGGATCTACTGACTGTGGTATTTCTGTGGACTGCAGGAGTCTTAGATCACCTTGGTTTAGACTGAGGGTGAGCAATAGTTTAGACAAACATTTGTGAGTCATTTGAAGATCAGCCACTGTGGAAGTTGACTGAGTAAGTTTAATGTTTGCTACTGCTGGTCTTTTAGTGACACTCAAACTCATCCAGACCTTCTGCTTTTGTTCAGTTTCTTCCCAACTGTTCTGAACAACTGCAGCTTCAACAGTTTTGGATCTCAGCTTCCTTTAATACATTTGTATTTAACACATCTACTCCACACACATACTCCAGTACATAAGCAGTAAAGACAAAATGGATGTTTAAAAACCTACTTTTTTACTTTTATGCTAAAAAGTGATCTATTTTTAAACCTCAACTCAATCTAAGCTATCTCTGTTTTTCATAAAAGAACACAACCTCTGTGTTTTCTTAATGAACTGAACTTTAGAGAGCCTGTCGTGTTCGTGTGGTATCAGATCATTTTAATATTTTAAATCTATGAAGTGTCTTTTGGTTTCATATGACACAATCCTGCAAACGATACAAATTAAGTTTAAGCTTTAAGTTTATTAAGGGCTAAACTGACATGAAAGTTAATGCCTATGAATCATTGTGCAAACAATACCAACCATTTACATTTAAAAGCATTGTAAACAGTTCAGTTGCATGCAAGGCTGAAGATCTTGTGTTAATGTGGTATTCTAGCTATTGTTATGCAGACCATAAATGATCTGCTGTCAGACAGGAAAACTCATATTCTTGTGCCAGAACTACTTTGTGAGACACTTCATGTAGCTAATCGGTCTCCGTGGTATTTAGACCTCCTGTGCATCATTTCCCAAACGGCAGATTGAAAGCAGACAGCTCGGTTGTACAAAGACAAACTGTTTTCCCCATTTTCCCTGTGTTAGTTTATTTCTCGCACATTATTGGTTTTTGTTAGATTTCCTCCTGTAGCACTTGGTTTGTTTTTTGCCCCTTGGTGGAATTAACCACCTGTTTGTATGACTTCAACTTGTTAAAAGATTCAGATTTCAGATGTTACTCTTCCACCCTAAAAATCTCCATTCAAAAAACAACAAAATACATTACGTATCAGCACGGATGCACAGCTACACTGACCACATTCATGACAATATCAGACTTGACTGCTATCAGCAAAAAGGATGATATTTAGCAGTGGAGTGTGATGAAGAGCTGAAAGACTTTCCTGGCACATAACGGGAAATAAATTAAAAATATATACATTTTAACCAACGGCCCAGAATTTCACAAACAGAACCATAATCACGCATTTATGTGGAATGAGAAAATGGCCCACGCTGATGATAAAGGACTTCTATCAACCCAGTGTGCGAGTCCAACCTTTAACGCCGCCAGAAGCAAAGTTAATGGACCTCATAAAAATACATTTCACAGGGAACATCACTCTCTCCCCATGTGTTCCTCAACAACTCATCAATTCAGCACTGATAGGCTGTGTTGAAGATTCTGCCTGGGATTCCCTGGTGTCACAGATTATCTCCTGCAGCATGGTTTCTGCTAAGAAAGCATCTATGTTTTCTGGGCTCTCTCTTCCACATACAGCTGCATCTGTTAAAGGCAAACAACCAATGTGGACATGCAGATGACAATAATTCACCATTAAATGAATCAGTGAGTGGGATGCTTCTGCTTACCTTTACTATATCAGAAGTCATAGTCTTTAGTGGAATGAGTCTAGGCTCCTGCATGTGGACTTCTTGCTCATCAGCGACTATCCATGGAAAATCCTGCAGAGGCAAACACATTAATGTGACCAACACATGTAAATAACAATTCTGTGTTTCTGAGTAAGTGCATTTAAACACTTCACCTTAATTACTTGAACCTTCTCCATATTGCGAGTAGCAGCATCTCTGGTATGTACTAGTACTGTAAACGAACACCCTGTGACAAAAAAAGAAAAGTAAAACAGTTCAATCAGTCAAATCTATGAGCCCATACCACCTTATGTGCACTATAATGTCACCTTTCTCTGGACTTCAGTTTAATTGGCATAGATTTCTGACAAAGGCTTGATTATTCCATCAATTAATCTGATAAGAAATGCTTTTGTCTTATTAATTAGCAATAATAAATATAGAAAACTCTACAGGTATTTCAAAATGAAACCCCAATTGGTTTCCATTTTAGAAATTGTAATGTTTTAAATTTTAACTGCATACAACACCTGTCAAAAAACAAACATAAAAACTAAACCTTTGACTGTATTTCCGTGTCACGTTTTAATGGAATTCTTTTTAAAGAAAATGTTATCTAAAATCCCAAAATATATAAATAATCTCAAGTACAGTCAAAGGGCAAAGTCAAATAAAATAAGGTATATATACACAATCTAAATTGACCTTTACTCTGTCTTCTTGGAAGGCTTTCTGACATTAATAAGAGTTCTGACAGTTTTCTGAGGTAGATTTGGTGTGTTCTCATGTTTATGTGTGCCAAGTGAATGAGTTAGTTTGTGTCTGTAAGCCTTTAAAGGAGAATGTGGTGTTTGCAATGAAGAAAAGTGAGCACAGACTTAAATAAATGTAAATCATTTGCTAATGAGTAAATCAATTTATGCACCTCCTATCTTCCAAAGGTGAACACAAATATTTACCCCAGTAATGAAGAGAATCCTCTTAAGCTGCTTAGGCAAGACTTTGTGCTGAATCATGTGACTTAAAGGATATCATTTAAAAATCTTTCCAAAACTTTGGCAGAGTATATGAGTATATAAGCATGTATGTAATTGTCTTCTCTTCCGGTGAGCCACGATGACATTACCTGGTGGATTACTATTTAAAACAGCATCACACACGCTGATCTTCAGGATGAACGCCCTCAGCAGCTGCTCCACGTGTGACAGCAACGTGTCTGAGCTGTGAAAACACAAATAGCAGTCAGTGACCAGTGTCACAGTAAAAATGTATTTCAACGGAAAGATGCTTCTTTTTAGTAAACATTAAAATGTGGAGGGCAACCTGATGGAGAGCAGTGGTGGCTGGGAAATCTCGAAAACAAATCTCTCTACTGGATGATGCTCTTTGTCCATGATGACCACAACCACCTTCTCTGCATCGTTCTAAGAGGCGAATGGAGGATATCAGAGCAGTAAGAGGAGAAATGAGAGTACACTTTGTGTGACATTGACCCGTCACTTTCAGGACATAGCTTACCTTTTCAATGAGTGGCTTTATACAGTGTAGTGTATCTTGGATATACTGATTCAGCTCTGGGTGACATGACATCTGGAATAAAACACACCAACAGAAGTCCTGTATTAGAGAAGCTAATATGCACACACCTAACAGCTGCAAACAAATAGTAATAACACATAAAACAGTACCTGCACAGGCACGTTGTACTTCTTTCGCTTCTGAAATATCCCAGAGGGATAAACCTCACGGACATACAGGATGAGATGAATAGCGACCTCCAGGAATTCACACAGAATGTCAGCAACCACTGGAAAACATGCGAACAATAAAACCTCTGGTGTTCTTGCTAATGTGACAAAGTCCCGCCAAACCCAATGAAAACATTCAGCAATATAGCGTCGCCTACTTTAATTCATAGTAAAAACCCAGGCAGACAGTGACAGCATGGTTTATGTAGGTTCCATATGCCCATGACTTTGCAAGGGGGACAACTACCTATTGGAAAATTAACAGTAGTCTCGCCGAGCTGACCAGACCTGGTATATATATTCCTTTAATGGCCTTACCTTGCCCAAAATTGAGATCTTGCCTCGTTAGAGTTGTCATGTTTTACTCCCCTGGTTCAGCAAAATTAAATTTAAATGCTTAATTTTCTGTACGACTTGCTAACTTGTGTAAAGCAGCAGTCTTACCGGTCCTCGTATTGATTTTAATGGTTCAATATCTCGTTTTTTGTTGCTGCTGTACCTGACAACCGAAGAGATAAGAAGTTCAGTTTTTACAGAATTTTACACGTGTTTAAAAAAACCCGCAACGATCCACATGAAGACACCCGGAGACATTAGCAACCTGCCGACCCGAACCGCGGCATTTCTTTTTTTTGTACGCGAAGCTTCGTCGCCCGCCGAGGTGACGTCACTCGTTGTTTACAATTGCGTACTCTGCCGTCCACTTGTGATGACGTGAATGGACCGTTGGTTTTATTTTTAATTTCCACCTTTTTCCCCCCGCAACAGTTATTACAAAATAATAATAATAATAATAATAATAATAATAATAATAATAATAATAATAATAATACCGCGAGGTGATTGGTGAAAAGCACTGAAACATTTATTTTTGTCTTATATTATATTATATTTTATTATATTATAATTGATAATAGGCTTTATTTCACTAATTAATTGAGTTCACAATTTTGTTTTGATAATTACCAATTATTAGATAATTATCAGATTTTTTAAAAGTTGGTTTTAATTTTTTAGTTATGGTTTTATACTTGCTATGACAGCTTCATGAATGAAAATATCCTTAATTATCAGCCTTGCCGAATGCAGGTATTCTGTCTCCTCGGCAAGGTTATGCCATCCCGAGGTGTCCCATTGCTCATAAATATGAAAACATACCAATTACGCATGAAACATATTGAATTAAAACAGTAAATCATATGCAGCCTAACTAAGGGTGACTAATGTTATGCCTGGTTATTTAGACAATCACAATAATCTGTTTATTACGCTTATTCTTTTTCTTTTTACATTTTTTGGTTGTTTGAATTCAAATGCTAACTTACATCAAAAGTCCTCTTCACTCTCTCTTTTTTTTTTTTTTT